GCACCGCCTGGCAACTTTCACTCTTGATTCTGCTTTGGCCCTCTGAGTGCTGGGATGAGAGCTGGTTTATGCAGAGTTCAGGATAGAACCCAGGGCTGTCTACATGAACTACTTTCCTCAACCTCGTTTTTCTTCTTCTCTTCTGTTCCCTTTCCTTTCTCTTGTCTCTTCCCTCCTTCCATTTCTGTGGGAGCCGAGAAGGCAGGCCATTTCCACATTTGTCTGACGGTTGGAGTAGCTGGGAGACTGACTGGTGCATCTGGCAAGGTTGCCCAGCTCCTTTGATAGAAAAGCAAACCTGGCACCATCCTCAAAGTGGTCAGGATACACTAATGTCATCCTGCTTTTTCTATTGTAATTATGAGGTCACCTGGGGAAGAGGTGTTTTCAGCCTCCCTGACTTAAGTCATTCCTTCGCTGCCTAGGAAACAGAATGCCAATGAAGTTTTTGTCCCCCTACCCCCAGCTTACATTGATATAAAAGCTGTTTGAAAAATAAACGCCGGTCATTTCAGGACTCCCTCCCCATACCGTCCTGTGAATTGTGTCTTTAATATTCCCACGCCTCTGCACTGGTCAGAATGATTTGTGTGGGGCTAGTCCTTGACACATTTCTCTGCTAGGTTGGAACCCAGGCCTTCATGCTAAGCAAACACTGCCAACTAAGCTACATCCCCAGCCCGCTCCTTTGGTAAAGAAAATTTATTTATTTAAAAATTGCAGTTAATTTTTTTTGCTATGTGTGTATGGGAAAACATGTACCATGTTGTGCATTTAGAGGTCAGAGGACAGCTAGCAGAAATTAGTTCTCCTCTCTGATCACGTGGTCCTCAACACACAGCACATGTTGTCAGTACTGTAGGAAGCACTTCTACTTGCCGAATCATCCGCTGCTCTTAAACAGTTTATGCACTATTATTATTATTTTAAATATTTTATTCCTATTTATGTATAGAAGTGTTTTGCCTACACGTGTGTATGTGTACCTCGTGTGTGCCTGCTGCCCAGGGGAGCCAGAAGAAGGTGTTGGATACCCTGAGACTGGAGTTATGGATGGGTTGTGAGCCACCTTGTGGGTACTGGAAATCAAACCCTGGTCCTCTACAAGAGCAGTGCTCTTAACCACCGATCCATCTCTGCAGCCCCTGTTTGTTGTTAGCAGGAGGGGGGTTGAAAGAGGAAAGATTTGCATAGTCAGCTCTCCCCCATCCACCTTTATGTGGGCTCTGCCAGGAGTGAACAGTGAGCACACTGGCCTGCTGGCCATCTCACTGACCCTCCTCCTTCACCATAGCCATTGGGGGGCCATGCTTGTGAGGCCTCAACCCTAGACAAAGAGTTACAGGCAATTAAGGGATGCTGAGAGCATGAGAAACAGTCTTCCCCAGGGAAGAGCACACCATGGTTATCCAGGACGAGGTGTCAACCCTGAAAGCACATACATGCATTGATGTTATAGACTGAGCAGGTTGTATTTTTGTATTTAGGAAGGGGAAAGTGATGTAATTGTTTTCATAATCTCAAAAAATTATTTAAAATAAATAAATCTTAATTCTAGAACTTGGGAGGCAAAGGCAGACAGATTTGTAGAAGTTCAAGACTAGCCTGAGCTGGGTGGTGGTGGTGGCTCAAGCCTAGCTCCAGGACAGGCTCCAAAGCTATAGAGAAACCCTGTCTCGAAAAACAAACAAACAAACAAAAAAGACTAGCCTGGTCTATATAATAAGTCATTATTTTCTCTCTCTCTCTCTTTCTCTCTCAGTACTGATTTAACCCCATGCTATACAAGTGCTTCTGAACTGGAGTGTATAAGAACTCAGAGGCGGAAGGGTCCAGCCACACTCAAGGACAGTTAAATGCTTTTGCAGAATGATTGGCCAACAGGAGACCCGATGAGGTCCAGCTACATCCTGTGCTTGTTTTCCCAGCCAAGGTTGGTTTCCTGAGGCAAACGCAGAAGCAGGACTTTTCGGAGCAGTTTCCTCACCCCCACACGAAAGTCTTATATCGCCCAGGACATCCTCAACATTGGTTATTTAGGGCTGGTGAGACGGCTTGGGGGCTAAGGCCTCACCACAGAGCTTGATGACATAAGTTTGACTCCCGGAATCCACATGGGGGAAGGAGAGAACTGGCTTCACAAAGGTGTCCTCAGACCTCACACACACACACACACACACACACACACACACACACACACACACACAAATATATATGTTGTTTTTACAATCAACTGTATAGTCAAGGCTGACATTGCACTCTCGGTCTCCCTGTCCCGTCTCTTGACTACTGAGATCACAGCCATGCACCACCATGCCCGATTTAATGTGGTCCTGAGGAACCCCAGGGCCTCATGTTGAGAAGCAAGCACTCTACCAACTAAGCCACATCCCCAGCCCCAGAACTCAGTAATTTTCTCCTTGTTTTCACCTGACGTGTTTATTTGCCTCAGTAATGAGAGCAAGGTGGAGAGCCCGACTGTCAAAGTCCCCTGACCCTGGGCTGTGCACAGCACTTGGCGCTCACTCGTTTCACACACACAAGGCAGTTGGGAGGTAGGTTCTGCAGCGAATCCTATCGGACACATGATGAAACAGAGACTTGGACAGCGACTCAACCCATGGGAGGCCAGCACCAGGCATGGGGTGTGACGGTGGTGATCCTCCACACACAGGGCCCTCACTGGGCTGGAGGCCACAGGCCTGGGCATTCCGGCCAGTGCAGCCAGGGAAATCAAAGCTCCCACTGGCAGGGTGTGGCTCCCTGGCAGGCAAGCAGGCAGACTGGTGGGCGGATAGTCAGATTTTCTCCACATAGTTTCCTGGGAAGAGACCTTCCTGGCCATGGAGTCGGCCCTTCCACCAGCCAGAGGGATCTGTGGGAGAGAAGAGCTTGAGATGCCCAGTGCACACTGCTTTCTCTGTCTCTCTCTTATACTCATCTTGGATATTTTGTTTGCTTTGGACACATGGTATTGTATGGTTCTGCCTGTCTGCAAACATACTATGCATGGGCCAGAGAGATGGCTTAGTACTTGTCATGCCTGAGTGAGGACCGGAGTTTCTTAGAACCCATGAAAGCCGGAGGCAGTGCTACATGACACATCTGTTATTCCATGTTTCTCTATGGTGCAACAGGAGGTAGAGACAGGAGAACCCCTGGAAACGCTTGGGTCAGCTAGCCTGGCATATACTGTAGCGAGCAACAAAAGATGCTGCCTCAAACAAGGTGGAAGGGAAGGACTGACACCTTTAGTTGCCCTCTGACCTCTATGTGCAGACCATGACAGGTGTGTACCTTCATAAAACGCAAGAATGCGCATATGTGCGCCTGCACACATACACACAGATGCACACATACAGACACATATGTCCGTGCACACATGCTCAAAGACACACACATACATATAAACCCGAAGACGTGTGCATGTGTGTGCTATGTTGCTGAGGTTGACCTTGGACTCCTTATCCCCCCCCCCCCCCCCGCCTCTGTCCCCTGAGGACTGTGATTATACCCTTGAGCTATCACACTCACTTCTGTTTTGTTTGGAGACTGGTTCTGTCTCCCTGAGCAGCCCAGCTTGACTTTTTACTCTCCATCCTCAGTTTCCAAAGTTCTTGGACTATTGTATATGACATTATGCATGGCTGTCAGCCTTTGGATCTGGAGGCAGGTGCTGGAGATTGAACTTTGTACAAGCCAGGCAAATGCTCTGCTGCTGAGAAGCTTACTGATTGAGCCATATCCTTAGCAGCCTACCTCTCTCTCTCCCTTCCATCCTCTTCCTCGTCCCCCCTCACACTGAGAAACCCAGCATCTCCTGCATATGAGGGAAGTGCTGTACCACTGATCTGCATTCAACAGTCTCTGCCCTTCTCTAGACAGTCTTCTTCAAACCCCAGCAGTAGTTAGGAATAACCAGGTCCCCATGACATCCAGGAGGCCCTGCTATCCACTTCTGAAGTGTTTCTGGGGTCATCCCAGATGGGGACCTTCAGGTAGGACTTGGGCAGGGCCATCATGACTCGGCTTCCTTCCTACTTACAAGGACTTGTAAAGTCAGTTGTTACTGACTAAAGTAAGACTACACCCTGATGTGGTGGCGCTTTCCAGTCCCCTCGGCACACAGGAGGCCGAGGCAACATAGCATGACCTTGTCTCAAAATAACATAAAATAATAAAAAGGCTTAGGCATGAGGTGTGATAAAATGAGGCCGCAGCCCTAGGTGCCTTAGGAGGCGACATTCGGAGACCAGGTTATCCAGGCTGTGCAGCTCTGGGAGACTATGAGCTTGATACCCAGCCCGCTTGTTTCTCTATGTTTGTAAGTGTGCACCACTGTACGCACCACTGTGCTTGGTTTTACACTTTTAAATTACACTTTCTTTTTCTGTAATGTGTGCGCGCGGTATGCACCTCTGAGTTGTATGTTTTTGCATGTGTGTAGGTGCCCGAGTATGGGGGGTATGCATGTGGAGACCCCACGTCATCATTCCCTACTGCTCATCCACCTTATTCACTAAGGCAGAATCTCTCAGCAAGAACCACAGCTTGCTCTGGGGATTCTGGAAATCAGAACTCTGGTCCTCATGTTTTCAAGACAAGAGCCTTAACCACGGAGCCATCTCCCCAGCTTGTGTGCGCGCGCGTGTGTGCGTGTGTGTGTGTGTGTGTGAGTCCTAGGTTTGGTGGCAAAGGCCTTTGCCTGCTGGGCCGCCTCACTGGCCCTTGCTCCTGGTTTTTGCATGGATGGGAAGGCTATGCAGCAATGTGTAGCTGCCTCACTATGTCTGAACACTCCCCACCCTCAGCCTTCACCCCGGAATACAAACCTTCCATGAGGATCTCAATTACTTCATTCACATTGAAGCTCAGCTCGTCCACATCTTGGCCTATGTATTGGTACAGTGCCCGGCACCTTGGGCCATGGATGCGTGGTTGGGGCTTGGGCCGGCCCACACCTGGCACAGGTCTCTGCCCTATGCTCCGCTTCCTTTGCATGCTGTGGAGACAGTGTGGGTTTCATCAGAGCCCCTGATAGATACTCCTCTATCCCTTAGCCTCCTCCTGGGGCTGTGCCCCCCATCTGTCCCCACCTACCCTGCCACACCCTGGTCAGGCACATTGAGGAATTCTGTGTTGTGCTCTGAAGGTGGCCGTGCCCGGGGACGTCTGCTGGCTCCTAGGGTTGAGGATGGAGGGCCCCGGGGAGGCCTCTGGGAACTCCTTCCAGATGTGATCTCCATGGGTAAGGGCCCCGCTCGGGAAGAAGGTGGTACCCCATTTCGATTCATGCCTATGGTGGAAACAAAGATAGAGATATCTGTCATGAGTGGCTGTGAACATTTGAGGAGTTGGTGCTGAGATCTGAGCCTGACAGAAGATGCAGCCACTCTCAACTCAGTATGGTAGAACTGTGTTTGAGGACCAGGAGTGGAGATGCTCGCCTTTAACCCCAGCACCTGGGGAAGAAGAGGCAGGTGGTCCCACCAGCCAGGACCACATAGAGTGTCCCTGTCTCAAAAACAAGAACATGGTGCCTGCCTTTAACCCCAGCACTCAGGAGGCAGAGGCAGAGGCAGGTGGATCTCTGAGGTCAAGGCCAGCCTGGTCTACAGAGTGAGTTCTAGGACAGCCAGGGCTACACAGAGAAACCCTGTCTCAATAAACCAAAACCAAACCAAACCAAACCAAACAAAAAACAGAAAGAAAAACCAAGCCACCAAAACAAACAAAAAGAAAAGGACAGAGTCTGCATGAGGGACCCCAGAGGCAGGAGGCTCTATAGGGAGCGTTACAAGCTGCTGGGGTAAACAGAAGGGCGTTTGTGTGTGGCTTTATGTATTGCTAGTGTATGTGTGGGGCGCATGCATGGTACATGAAGACTTGGGAGTTTCTTTCTTCCTCTTCCTTCCCCCTTACTTTTTCCTACTCCTTTCTTCTCTCCATCTCTTCTTCCTCCTCACCTCCCACCTCTCCCTTCTCCTTTGATTTATGGTTTCACTGTGTAGCTGTGGCTCTGGCTCTGTAGACCAAGCTGGCCTTGAACTTTCAGAGATCCACCTGCCTTGGCCTCCTGAGTCCGGGAATTAAAGGTGTTCACCACCACACCCAGCCCAAATCTTTTTTCTTTTTCTCTTTTCTCTTTCTTTCTTTCTTTCTTTCTTTCTTTCTTTCTTTCTTTCTTTCTTCCTTTCTTCCTTTCTTCCTTTCTTCCTTTCTTCTCTCTCTCTTTCTTCTTTCTTTCTATCATCTATCATCTATCTATCTATCTATCTATCTATCTATCTATCTATCTATCTATCTGTCTATCTATCCATCCATCCATCTTTTTTGGGAGGGAGGTTTCAGTAGCTGTGGAGCCAGTCCTGTAGACCAGGCTGGCCTCAAACCCAGAGATCCTCCTGCCTCTGCCTCCCACATGCTGGTGTTAAAGATGTTCACCACCATTGCCCAGCTCTCCTATCTGTTTTTGAGACAGGGTCTCAACCTTCCTGTGCAGTTGATAGACCCAGATTTACATGTCTTTCTGCATGCTAAGCAAGCATTCTACCTCTAGGGTGTAGGTAATGTGGGGATTTGGATGCCAAGTCTAGAGGCAAGAATAAATATGAGTTGGCTAAATTAAACGTAGTTTCCAGGCTAGGATTGTGCCGGATGGTGGGAGAGGTCAGATCTTAGAAATATTCCCCATTATGCCTCTTGTAGATGGGAGAGCTATAGTGAGTTGAGTCACTGTTGTTAGATTCTGACGTCCACAAAAGGCACCGTAAGTCACTAAGTCCTCACCTCTGGGGGGCCCAGGAGCTGCTCGAGTAGGGGCCTGCGCTGACCTTCGAGGTCTTCCCTGGGCTAACCCCTTCCGCGTAGGCTCTGAAAAGAGAAAGACAGCAGAGACAGATTTGACCACGCCTCTGCTCATACTCATGGGTTCTCCCATGTTAGTTGCAGGTAGAGATTCCACCCTTTCTGAACCTTCCCCTCTCCCTCCTTATTCTTTGAGCCCTCTCACTTCAGGACACGCCCCACCATCTGTTGATAGCTTAGGGTTGCTTCTATGGCCGCGACCCTTCACGTTTCCTCTCATTGGTCATTTCCCTAAGGCGGGTTATCTTCTTCTGTACCTTGACCCTTGAGACCCTGGCCTCTCTAGACCAGCTAACTAGCTCCACCCCCACAGTCTTCATCAACCACGTCCCAACAGGCCTCGCCCCGCCTCGCCCCCACGATGTCCATCTGCTTCCCGCGGACTTACTGGTGCTCTTAGGCAGACCGTCCCCAATGCTGACAGTGAGAGCTCGGCCCCCAGCTTTGAGCATAGCCAAGTCTCCTATCCCTCGGGAGAAGGTGACGTTGCGGGTACTGCCTCCGCCCCAGCCTTCCTTCTTCACCCGGAACTGTAGTCTAGGGGAAAGAAGGGTATTTGGGGGCGCCAGCTGGGGTTCCTCTTCCACACCCAACCCATGCCAGGGTCCCTGCGGTAGGCAGGGGGCACCGCACATAGACCAGGTAGAGAGTGGTGCTCGAATTGGCTGTGGGTTGAGGCGCATACGTGTCGCTGAAGGTGAGGGGCAGGGGCCTGCGCGCGGCCTCTTCAAAGCGCTTGCACAGAAGGCTGACGAACTCGGTCTTGAAGATACTTTCTAAGAAACTGTCGGCAGCCTCTTCTTGAAGGATGAAGAAGTCATCCTGTCTGGTGCTGGCGGAGAGGCAGGAGAGCGAAGAGTGAGGGACAGGAAAACAAGTGGGGTCCAACCTCCGAGGATCAAATTGGGGGAAGGGAGAAGGAAGAGCCCCAGAGGTGGTAACTGGGAAGGACCAGAGGTCAGATAGAAAGAGGGACAGAAAGTGTCTCCACACAAAGATCACGAAAGTAGGGTCGGACCTGAGTTACATCCCCTGAGGCCCACATGGTGGAAGTACACACGGTGGTACTTTTCTACTGCCCTCCCCTCCCTGTGCTGGTCTGTGTGCCCGTCTCCCCAGATAAAAGTGTAATTAAATAGTTTGTTGAAGATCCTGGAAGTAGGGGTAAGGGAATGGGACAGGAAGGGGCAAGAGAGCTAGGGACTTGGCCTTACCTGAGGGACACCCCTCGAAGGGCCTGGATCTCCAATTTCTTCTTCAGGACTTCACGAACCAAACCCTTCTCTGGTCCCTTTTTGACCTTCTCTCTCCCAATCACATACACACACTTGGGGGTCAGGATCAAGTCCCGTTTGATGGGCTGTGGAAAGGCAAAGCCGGGGGTTGATGGCTGGGCTCCAGGGCTGGGCAGTCTGATGGCAGACGGCCAACTCTAGACAAGGGTGGGGCTTGCAGGGAAGGTGACTGGGAAATCCCTCCCAGCACAGGTGTGTGAGCTGCTAAATCACGTAAGAAATAGAATAAAAGTGAGGGCATATTGGTTAGGGATGTCTGGACCAGTCAACAGGTACAGGATATAAGAAACACCCTGAAGGATGTGGCTGGCCTCTGGGTATCACATGACTCTTGCCCTCTCTGCAGCTGCAAAGACTTTCCAGAGACTTGCACAAGACTGGGCCCATTAACTTTTGGTGAGGGACTCTTGAGGCCAAGGGTCCTGAGGATTTGTAGACAGTTAATGGTTGCTAGGAGGGACTCATGTAGCCCCATCCTTCCTTGAAGATCTATAGGCAGTTCATGTGTTCTGAGGGAGGATAAGAGACATTCTCTGGTGGTACAGCCAATTCTAAGTTGCCCATGCTTTTCTAAGTAACCAATCCTTTAGCCATGCTCCTGGAAATAACCTGGATTAAACATATTGTACCACCATGCTATACCTTAATGGAACCATTTCTTTGATCTGTTGTTGATTGACCTCTCTGGGGTGGACAGACATTGGTTAGCAGCTCCAGGAAAAGGTCACAAAGCTGTGTGTATGGATTTGTGCTGGGAATAGAATCCTTGCATGCTAAGCACACACTCTGTCATGGAACCACATGCCCTCAGCCCAGCTTATGTAAAGGTATGGATTGTTCAGGTGAGTATATACAACTTATGGGGCAAACAGGAGTACATAGCCTAAGTCATCTGATCGTGGTGGGGCACACTTGTAATCCTGGTGCTCAGGAGGCTAAGGCAGGAGGATTGCAAGTTCTAGGCCAACCACACGAGTCTATGAATTTGTATAGGAAGGCAGGTATGCACCTGAATGCTGTCAAAAGAATGACGTATCATGAGCAGTGCCTGGGGGATTGTGGAAGAGGCTCTAGCAAAAAAAGGCAGAGCCTTTTGCCTCAGGTGCATGATTGTTCTTGGTGCCCCCTGTGACAAACATTTTTATTAAGACATGTTTATTCTGGCTGGATGTCAGAACATATCTCTAGAACCCAGTCTGATCAGTGTGCCCTGAATCTGGACACGGCCTTCTGCCCTGCTTTAGTGCTTCTCCAGATACATCTCTTGTGTATACCAGGCAACTGTGGTCAGACCCATCTGTCCCCAGATACATCTCTTGTGTATACCAGGCAACTGTGGTCAGACCCATCTGTTCCCAGATACATCTCTTGTGTATACCAGGCAACTGTGGTCAGACCCATCTGTTCCCAGATACATCTCTTGTGTATACCAGGCAACTGTGGTCAGACCCATCTGTTCCCAGATACATCTCTTGTGTATACCAGGCAACTGTGGTCAGACCCATCTGTTCCCAGATACATCTCTTGTGTATACCAGGCAACTGTGGTCAGACCCATCTGTTCCCAGATACATCTCTTGTGTATACCAGGCAACTGTGGTCAGACCCATCTGTTCCCAGATACATCTCTTGTGTATACCAGGCAACTGTGGTCAGACCCATCTGTTCCCAGATACATCTCTTGTGTATACCAGGCAACTGTGGTCAGACCCATCTGTTCCCAGATACATCTCTTGTGTATACCAGGCAACT